GAGCCGCTTAGCGATCCTGCAAGCTATAGGCGGCTGGTTGGTAAATTAAATTATCTCACAGTGACTAGGCCCGACATTTCTTATCTTGTGAGCGTTGTAAGTCAGTTTATGAATTTTCCCTGTGATAGTCATTGGGATGCAGTTGTCCGCATTATCCGGTATATAAAATCGGCTCCAGGTAAAGGATTACTGTTTGAGGATCGAGGTCATGAGCAGATCGTTGGGTACTCGGATGCTGATTGGGCAGGATCACCTTCTGATAGACGTTCTACGTCTGGATATTGTGTTTTAGTAGGAGGAAATTTGGTGTCCTGGAAAAGTAAGAAACAGAATGTAGTTGCTCGGTCTAGTGCAGAAGCAGAATACCGAGCAATGGCTATGGCAACATGTGAAGTAGTCTGGACCAAACAGTTGCTCAAGGAGTTGAAATTTGGTGAAATCAGTCGGATGGAACTTGTGTGCGATAATCAAGCTGCACTTCATATTGCATCAAATCCGGTGTTTCATGAGAGAACTAAACAAATTGAGATTGATTGTCACTTCGTCAGAGAAAAGATACTCTCAGGAGATATTACTACGAAGTTTGTGAGATCGAATGATCAACTTGCAGATATTTTCACCAAGTCTCTCACTAGTCCTCACATTGATTATATATGTAACAAGCTTGGTACATATGATTTATATGCTCCGGCTTGAGGGGGAGTGTTAGAGATAGCTATGTAATTGTCCCACATTGGAATAGGAGTAGTATCCCCTTTGTATAGAGTAGCTATAAATAGCACCTCTTGTATTGCATCAAACACAAGATATCAATATATATATCATATTTTCTCCCGTGCCTTCTCACAGCTCTCCTTTTAATCTTGCATTTGTTAGTCGTTTGACTCGTGCCCTCCATTGTGGTATATATTTTATGATGATTCTCTTATTATGCAGGACCGCAGTACGGGACTAACACTTGACACAAGGCGTGAATCACAAAGCCTTTACTACCTTGACTCACTCTATCTATCCACAACATGTCTAGTTATAGATCCTCCCGACCTAATTCACTGACGTTTAGGACATCCTATTTATCTAAGCTTCAGAAGATGGTGCCTAGTTTGTCTAGTTTGTCTACATTAGATTGTGAGTCGTGTCAGTTTGGGAAACATACTCGAGCCACCTTGACTCACTGAGTCATGTAGAGACTATTTTCTCTTTAGTTCGTTCTGATATATGATGTCCTAGTAGAGTCTGTTCAACCTTGATATTTTGTTATTTTATTAGTTTCATTGATGATTATTCTAGATGTACTTGGCTTTTCTTAATGAAAGATCATTCTGCGTTATTTTTCTATATTCCAGAGTTTTTGTGTTGAAATCAAAAATCAATTTGGTGTTTCTATTCACAATTTCGCAGTGATAATGCCTTAGAATATTTGTCCTATCAGTTTCAGCACTTTTTGACTTCTCAAGGAATTATTCATCAGATATCTTGTCCTTATACCCCTCAGCAGAATGGGGTTGCCGAGAGAAAGAATAGATATCTCATTGAGACTACTCGCACACTTCTCATTGAGTCTCATGTTCTGTTGCGTTTTTGGGGCAAGGTAGTTCTCACAACTTGTTATTTGATTAATCGGATGCCTTCAACTCCCATCTAGAATCAGATTCCACATTCAGTGTTGTTTCCCTGGTAACCCTTATACTCTCTTGCCCTCGTGTTTTTGGGAGCACATGTTTCGTTCATTACTTAGCCCTTTGGAAAAGATAAGTTAGCTCCTCGTGCTCTCAAGTGTGTCTTCCTTGGTTATTATTGTGTTCAGAAGGGATATCGTTGTTACTCACCAGATCTTTGTAGGTACCTGTCACTCAGCCCCAGGAAAGATAGCTGACGTCACATTCTTTGAGTCTAAACCTTACTTTACCTCTTCTGACCACCTTGATATATATGAGGTCTTACCTATAGCGACTCTTGAGGGGTTTACTATAGCTCCTCCTACATCCTCAGTCACAAAAGCCTTACCCATATGACCATTAAGGAATCTAGTGTTGCTCTTCCTAAATGCCTAGCCACAAGAACACTACTCTTGACTTATCATCGTCGTCCGCGTCCAGCATCAAGCCCAACTGATTCACGTCCTGCACTTGCTCCTAATACAGACTTGTCTCTTCTTCGTCCATCAATTGCACTTCGAAAATGTATACGGTCCACACTTAATCCTAATCCACATTATGTTGGTTTAAGTTATCATCGTCTGTCATTACCGCATTATGCTTTTGTATCTTTGTTGTCCTCTGTTTTCATCCCTAAGTCTATAGGTGAAGTCATCCAGGATGGTGACAAGCTATGATTGACGAGAAGTCTGCTTTACATGCGAGTGGTACTTGGAAACTTGTTCCTCTTCCTTCAGGCAAATCTATTATTAGCCGTCGTTGGATTTATGCAGTCAAAGTTGGTTCGGATGGCCAGGTTGATCGACTTAAGTCTTGTCTTGTTGCCAAAGGATATACATGTTCGATTACAGTGATACTTTCTCTCCTGTGGCTAAAATTTCACCAGTCCGCCTCTTTCTTTCCATGACTGCTGTTCGTTATTGGCCTCTCTATCTCTTGGACATTAAGAATGCTTTCTTCATGGTGATCTCGAGGATGAAGTTTATGTTGAGCAACTTCCTGGTTTTGTTGCTCAAGGGGAGTCTAGTGACCTTGTATGTCGCTTGCGACGGTCACATTATGGTCTAAAGCAGTCTCCTCGAGTCTGGTTTGGTAAGTTCAGTAATGTTATCCAGGGTTTTGGCAGGACTCGCAGTGAAGCTGATCACTTTGTGTTTTATCGGTATTCTGCTTCAAATCTTTGTATTTATCTGGTGGTTTATGTTGATGATATTGTTATTATCGATAATTATCAGAATGATATTACTAAGTTGAAGCAACATCTTTTTCAATGCTTTCAGAATAAGGATATGGGCAGATTAAAATAGTTTCTGGGTATTGAGGTCGCTCAGTCTTGCCCAGGTATTGTGATCTCACAACAAAAGTGTGCCTTAGACATTCTTAAGGAGACAGAAATGATAGGCTGTAGACCTGTTGACACTCCAATGGATTCGAATTCTAAACTTCTGCTAGGACAGGGAGAGCCACTTAGCAATCCTATAAGATATAGACGGCTTATTGGTAAATTAAATTACCTCACAATGACTGGACCTGACATCTGTGAGTGTTGTAAGTCAGTTTATTGATTCTCCCAGTGATAGTTATTGAGATGCAATTGTCAGCATTCTTCGGTATGTAAAGTTAGCTCTAGGCAAAAGGGTTATTGGTTGAGGATCAAGGCCTTGAGCAAATTATTGGATACTCAGATGCTGATTGGGCAGGATCACCTTCTGATAGAATAGTGTTTTTGTAGGAGGTAATTTGGTGTCCTGGAAGAGCAAGAAATAGAATTTGGTTGCTCGGTCTAGTGCAAAAGCAGAATATCGAGCAATGACTATGACAACATATGAGTTAGTTTGGATCAAACGGCTGCTTAAGGAGTTGAAATTTAATGAAATCAGCCAGATGGAACTTGTGTGTGATAATCAAGCTGCCCTTCATATTGCATCAAATTCGGTATTCCATGAAAGAAATAAACACATTGAGATTGACTGTCACTTCGTCAGTGAAAAGATACTCTCACGAGATATTGCTACAAAGTTTGTGAAGTCGAATGATCAAATTGCAGATAATTTTGCCAAGTTCATCACTGATTGTCGTATTTGTTACATATGTAACAAGCTCGGTACATATGATTTGTATGCACCAGCTTGAGGGGGAGTATTAGTATATGTATATGTGTAATTAGTCCTAATCCATATGTAGTAGGAGTAGATGTATTATATATAGCACTCATTGTATCATTGTTAATATATTAATAATATTTCCCGTGCTTTCTCACAATTTCATTTGCTCATTTCAATGTTTTATCTATGTAGATATATTTAAGAAAGGATGACCATCTTGGATCACTAATGGAAGGAACATTGCTTGCGGTAGGTGGTCGATACGACTACCTGCTCCACCAAAGTGGGGATTCGGAATGTGTAAGTAGGCTTTTGGAAAGTTTTATCTCATCATTTTTTCTCTCTACATTTTCCTTGCTCTTATACAACACATTAACTTATACGTGTATTCTTTTTTTTGGATAATGGTGAACTCATTTGTTTATATCTCTGGGCTGGACTTGTGTTCTGTCATAATTGGGCGCAGAGAAATTTTTTTCCTTTTCTATTGGACAAGGGTTCAAGGTTGGTAGACAATCTCAAAAAAGTTAGGCACATATGTAGTTTTGGTATAACAACGTAATTGGATTTTGCTCTTTTCCCTAGTATTTTTGTAATCACGAACTGATACTTGGTTTTCTTGTTGGTGGATTTATTGCTAAATATAAGACATGAATAGAATAACAATCTCTAAATATTGATTACAACGTGGAATCAAACTTTACAAACCAAGATTAGGTAGTACAATGAGCTTTTAAGATTACCTTATACAAACGCAGTCTGAATATCAGATATAACTAGAAATAAAGAAAGACACTCCAAGTCACCATTGAACTAAATAGCTGAACTCACTGTTGGAACAGGAATTGCCATCCAATGCTCACTCATGAACTCGGCTGAAGCTCGAATCCATATCTGAACACACGTTGCAGATGTGTAGGGTGAGTATTGGGAATACTGAAGGTAGTGGCGAGAGTCAATATAGAAGATACTCAAAACTTGTGCAATAAATAATAATAATAATAACAATAATAATGATAATCAATGCACCGATAAAGCACAACAACAACAACGATAATAATAATATTAATAATAATAATTTGCACCTAACTGCATGTCTTACATGTACCACATATAATCAATGCACAGATAAAGCATACATAGTATGCACAATTTAACATGTGATAGAGTACATGCTATCTTATCTAATCAAGTCCAATGCATGTGTTGGATGCACCTAAGTAGTTATTCTAGAGACCTGAGTAAGAGAGCCATTGGTTATTTTGGCATAATTTCTTTTTGAGACATTGGGAGTTGTTTTTGTGAGAATGCACGAGAGAAAAATCTATTATTGATATTCTATGTTACAATGAGCCCTATTTATATATATACATGACACATAACTTACTCCTATTACATAAAGGACTAGGACTAATTACATATATTCACATAACTATTCTAACACTCCCCCTCAAGCTGGTGCATATAAATCATATGTACTGAGCTTGTTATATACGTAGCTAATACGAGGACCAGTGAAGGACTTAGTGAAAATATCTGCAAGTTGATCATTCGACTTCACAAACTTTGTAGCAATATCTCCCGAGAGTGTCTTTTCTCTAACAAAGTGACAGTCAATCTCAATGTGTTTAGTTCTCTCATGGAACACTGGATTTGACGCAATATGAAGAGCAACTTGATTATCACTCACAAGTCCCATATGGGATCTCACCAAATTTCAACTTCTTGAGCAACTGTTTGATCCAAATTAGCTCTCATGTCGCCATAGCCATTGCTCGATATTCTGCTTTTGCACTAGACCGAGCAACCACATTATGTTTCTTACTCTTCCAAGACACCAAATTTCCTCCTACTAAGACACAATATCGAGACGTAGAACGTCTATCAAAAGGTGATCCTGCCCAATCAGCATCTGAGTATCCAACGATCTACTCATGGCCTCGATCCTCAAATATTAAACCTTTGCCTTGATTTGATTTTATATACCGAAGAATGCGGACAACTGCATCCCAATGACTATCACAGGGAGAATCCATGAATTGACTCACAATACTCATAGGAAAGGAAATGTCAGGTCTAGTCAATGTGAGGTAATTAAATTTACCAACCAACCGCCTATATCTTGTAGGATCGCTAAGAGGCTCCCCCTGTCCTGGCAGAAGTTTAGAATTCGGATTCATCAGAGTGTCAACAGGTCTACAACCTGTCATTCTTGTCTCCTCAAGAATATCTAAGGCATACTTCCGTTGTGAGATCACAATACCTGAGCTAGACTGAGTGACCTCAATACCTAGAAAATACTTTAATCTGCCCAGATCCTTAATCTGAAAGTGTTGAAAGAGATGTTGCTTCAACTTACTAATGTCATCGTGATCATTGCTGGTAATAACAATATCGTCAACATAAACGACCAAATAAATACATAGATTTGAAGCAGAATGCCGATAAAACACAGAGTGATAAGCTTCCCTACGAGTCATGCCAAACTCCTGAATAACTGTCCTGAACTTACCAAACCAGGCTCGAAGAGACTGCTTTAGACCATAGAGGGATTGACGCAACCGACATACAAGGCCAATAGACTTCCCCTAAGCAACAAAACCAGGTGGTTGCTCCATATAAACATTATCCTCAAGGTCACCGTGAAGAAAAAACATTCTTAATGTCCAACTGATAGAGAAGCCAACGGCGAACAACAATCATGGATAGAAAAATGTGGACTGATGCTATTTTAGCCACAGGAGAGAAAGTATCATTGTAATCGAATCCAAATATCTGAGTATACCCTTTCGCAACAAACGAGCCTTAAGTCAATCAACCTGGCCATTTGGACCAACTTTGACTGCATACACCTAACGACAACCAACAGTCAATTTACCCGAAGGAAGAGGAACAAGCTCCCAAGTATCACTCGTTTGCAAAGCAGACATCTCGTCAACCATAGCCTGTCGCCACCCTGGATGAGACAGTGCTTCACTTGTAGATGTAGGGATGGAAATAGAGGACAAAGATATACAAATGCGTAATGGGATGATGACAGACGATGGTAACTTAAACCAACATAATGGGCATTAGGATTAAGTGTGGACCGCATACCTTTTCATAATGCAATCGGTTGACTAAGAGGAGACAAGTCCGCAATATTAGCAGGGTCAGGTGCAGGACGTGAATCAGCTTGGCCTGATGCTGGGCGTGGACAACGATGATAAGTCAGGACTGGTGGAGTTGTAGAAAGTTGAACTGGACTAGGTGGTGAAACTGGAGCTATAGTTGGTGGAACTGGAGATATAGATGGTGGAGCTGCAACTGGAGCTGTAGGTAGTGGAGCTCCAACTGGAGCTATAGAGGAAGGGAATGGGAAATAGTGACTGAATCTCCAAAAGACGGAACTGGTGGCACCTCAGAAATATCTAAGTGATTACCTGGACTTATGAAGTATGAATTGAGTTTCAAAGAAGGTAACATCAACAGACATAAGATACCGCTGGAGGTCAGGAGAATAGCATCGGTATCCCTTTTGCGTTCTCGAGTAACCTAGAAATATGCACTGAAAAGCACGAGGAGCTAACTTATCTCTTCATGGAGCAAGGTTATGAACAAAACACGTGCTCCCAAAGACACGGGGTAGAAGAGAGAACAAAGGTAAGTGAGGAAACAGGACAGAGAATGGAACTTGATTCTGGATAGGTGAAGATGACATACGATTAATAAGATAGCAAGATGTAAGAACTCCATCCCCCAAAAAGGCAATGGAACATGAGATTGTATGAGTAGGGTACAAACAGTTTTAATAAGATGTCTATTCTTTCTTTTAGCTACCCCATTTTGTTGGGATGTGTATTGACAAGATGTTGGATGAATAATCCCATGAGAATTCATAAACTGCTGAAATGGAAAAGACAAATACTCTAGGGCATTATCACTACGAAATGTGCGGATAGAAATCCCAAATTGATTTTGAATTTCAGTGTGGAAGATCTGGAAAATAGAAAACAACTTAGATAAGTTTTTCATCTAAAATATCTGTGCACGTGGAATAATCATCAATGAAACTGACAAAGTAGCGGAATCCCAAGGTAGAACTGACCCGACTAGGACCCCAAACATCTGAATGGACTAAATTAAAAGGTGACTCTGCTCGATTATCAAGACGCCGAGGGAAATGGGAGCGGGTATGCTTACCGAGCTGACATGACTCACACTCTTAGAGTGGACAAGTGAGATAAGTCAAGGTACCATTTTCTGAAGTTTTGACAAACTGGGATGTCCCAACCGTTTATGTAATAAATCTGGTGAATCAGTAACAGGACAAGTTGTTGAAGGAAGACAAGATGTGAGTCCATGTGATTTTGCAAGGATAAGGTAATAAAGTTCATCTGATTCACATCTGGTTCCAATGATCCGCCCCGTACTGCATTCCTGTATAAAAACAAGGTCATCAAGAAATAAAACAGCTCATTTAAGTGATTTGGCTAAGCGACTAACGACTATGAGATTCAAAGGACTATCGGGAACAGAAAGAACTGAATCTAAAGATAAGGAATGAAGTGGACTTACTTGACCTATTGCAGTTGCGATGGTTTGAGTCCTGTGGCTATTGTGACTGTTGGAAGAGATTGAGAATATGAAATACTAGTGAAAAAAGAATTTGTTACCGGAAATATGATCAGATGCACCTGAATCAATGACCCAAGAGTCGGAAGAAGAAGACGATTGAGAGACACAAGTCACTATTACCTGTTTGAGCTACATAAGCTATCTCGAAAGATATATGCTTACGTGCTTTTTACTGAAGGAACTCAATATAATCTGATAAAGACACCATATGAACATTCGAAGTATAGGATCCAACAGTATTTGAGCCAAAAACATCAGATTTGAGTGACATCATAATGAACTTAAGAGAGATCAAAGCCAAATATCTGATGAAGATTACCAATAGTGATGAGATACCCTCAAATCACGCAATTAGGAATTGTAACCAAACTATTATAATGATCGGATACTGTTTGATCACCAAACTAGAGTAAGTTGGTCTGATACAGTTAGTCGAGCTTCTGAGTGCTGAAAAATTTATGTTGAAGACCTTCAGTTGAAAGACGCAACTGCTCTGACTTCTCAGATCATTGTCGGAAGCAAATTGAAATCAACAAAATGGTGGATATTAAATGACTGAGGTCGGAGTCAACAGGCAACCTTAGTATGTGAACAAAGTGGCCGGAAAAGTGACCAGAACAGTGACAGACCACTGCTCTCGCCGCAAAACCATTGCTCTTGCCGAAAACACTTTTCCAGTAACTGAGAAACCACAAAATCTTGAAGGGTCGAGTCGGAAAAGGCAGGCGACCAGCCCAGAAGAAAAATCAGACTTGAAAGATGCCGGAAAACGATCTCACGTGCCGGAACCTTAACTGCCCGAGGCGTGTGACGACGCGTGTGAAGTTTTCTGCCAGAGATCATCACTGGGGTTTGATCGCCGGTGATAGGAGAGCCTTGTGGTGGTGTTGGAATTTGCACAAACTCCACTGAAACTCATATTGACGTAAACAACTGCTAAGTCTTTCTTCCCAGATGTCGTTGGAATGACGCGCCATGATAATTATCTCACCAATGCTCTGATACCATGTGAGAATGCACGGGAGAAAAATCTATTATTGATATTCTATGTTACAGTGAGCCCTATTTATATGTATACATAACACATAACCTACTCCTATTACATAAAGGACTAGGACTAATTATATATATTCACATAACTATTCTAACAATTTTGAAAGCCCTTAAAAGAGCCTGCCATGTATCTATTCGTGCCATAATCAATAATCCAAGAATTAGTTGAACATTAAAGGGAATACCTTATTGCACATAATTGGATGTTGCATAGAAGGATAGTCGAGTTTGGTCAGGAGTTGGTGGAGATGCTAAATGTTATCTAAAGACAGTTTCTCCATAAGTAGATTCCCTGGATGTCTCCACAAATCTGCAATATTAAGCAGACCTCTTGATGAAGCTACTTATTCCCCAACACGGCGTACATTCTAAACTAGACAAGTGAGACAAAGCAGATATGACTTTTTGAAGATTTGATTATCTAGGATGTCCCAATCATCTATGTAATGGATTGGGTAAATCAATAATAGGACAAGCTATGGACGAAGAACAGGTTTTGGACGACTTAGGAAGGCTAAGGTAATAAAGTCCATATGATTCAAAGCCAATTGCCAAGTATTCGCCTGTGCTACATTTCTATATGACAAGAGCTATTGAAGGTCACTAAGCAGTTAAGTGTTTGGGATAAACAATTAATGTCTATAATATTAAAAGGACAATCAGGAACATAAAAACTAAATTCAAAGTTAAGAAGAATGTAGGCTAGCTTGATTTATTCCGGGATGGTTTAAGATCCACTGACCAATGAGATTGTTGGAAGAGGTTGAGAATAAAAAATAGTAGAATAAAGATATTCATTAATAGAAATATGATCATATGCACCAAAGACGGAGAGACAAGCCATCTGATTACCTATCTGAGTAACAAAAGCTATCTCAGAAGATGTCTGTTAAGCTTTATGTGATGAAGGAACTCAATATATACAGGTGAAGAAACCATTTGCTCGTTCAAAGTATTGGATCCTATTTTGTTTCAATCGAGTATTTGAAATCCTTGTGACATATTGTTGGATCACCAAAAGTTTTCACAAATAATCTCCAGAAATAGACAAGCTGTCCCAAGAGAGTACCTCATGAAACTACACCAAATTAGCCAGAAAACTTGGCAGGAAAAGGACTGAACAGTATCGTACCTTAGAATGATGACCAGAAATCACCTGGAAGGACTTGAAAATGACCGAAGATGCCGGAAAATGCTCAAATCTGGTCTGAAAATTCCGAATAATTGACAGGCAGACTTGTGACCATTAGTCGACCCCTATTGTACGAGGAAAGGGAAGAGAACTCTCGGAAGTTGTTGCTTCTCTGGAATCTAAAGCTCGGTTCACCAGAAAATCTTAAAACCTAGATAAGTGGTTGATTCAAAACCGTCAGTTGACCTAGGTTGACTTAAAGTTGTCGCCTGGAGCAAGCTGGGACGGCTCTCATGTGCCAGCGCATGGTGGAGATCTCATAGGAATTTTCTAAGCTTTAGTTGGTGTGTGCGTTTGTGTGTTTGGGGGGGGGGGGGGGGCCCTTT